CCGGCCACGCGGCTGTCTTCGGAGGCCCGCCCGGCGGCCTCCTGCTGGACGCGATGCCTGGGCCGTACGCAGCTGCAGCCGCCGGGCCGCTGGGTGCCGCGCCCGACCGCTTCCCGGCCGACCTGGACCTCGACATGTTCAGCGGGAGCCTCGAGTGCGACGTTGAGTCCATCATCCTCAACGACTTCATGGACAGCGACGAAATGGACTTCAACTTCGACTCGGCCCTGCCTCCGCCGCCTCCCGGTCTGGCTGGGGCCCCGCCCCCCAACCAGAGCTGGGTGCCGGGCTGAGGGCCACCTTCCCACGCTTCGGGTGGCCCCGCCCTGCCCCCATGGGGTCTCTGTCTTTCCATCCTGATCCCCGGGCCCCCATCCCCGATCCCAGCCCTACAGGAGAAGCCAGAAGGCTGCCCTAGCCCTGTTACAGACATCGCCCAGAAGTTGACCGCTGAGGGAAGTGGTACGGCGGGGCTGGGGCACCCACCATTCCGGCCCAAACTCCTGGACCTGCTCCTTCTTCCGGAGCAGGACGCCTGGGAGAGGTGGCTGCGCTCCGGGCTGGGTAGGAGTGGGGAGGAGCGATGTGGGCCACCTACTGTGGGCGCTGGTCGGGGAAGCCTACGGAGAGATGGGGCGGGGGCGTCTCCGAATCTTCGGTTTCATTCGCAGGGCCCTCGCCGCGACGCACTGCCCACCCCAAACTCCGATCTGATTCCCAAATGACACTCTTCCTCATTGGTCTTAACCTCAGTCACCCCAAGCCGGCAACCCCCTCCAGAAAACACAACTACTTTTCGGCCGCCCACCACAGCAGCCCCTCTCCAGCCCTAACCCACTCCCCCGTACCCCACGGTTCATCCCCTCCCCCAGCCTGGCCGGCTCTAGCTCCTCCCCTCCCCCGTCGGGGTTGGTCCCACTCTCCTCTCCCTACCCCCTAATGCTGGTCTCAGCTTCCTCAGCGGGCCTCGGTTCCAGATCCACCCCTCAACCCTACACCCCTTCCTCCGCGCCACTCCCGGCCCCTCTCTCCCATATTTAAGTGTCGGGGCGGGCGGTGGGCGCGGCGTCCCCGGCGCGTATCGTAGGCAGTGTACCGTGGCCGTGCCGTCAGCGTGTGCGTGTGTGCTGTGTCGAGGCCGTGTAGAGTGCATTGTACAGCATATTTTCATGAATAAAATTGTTTTAAATATTTCCCGCGCCTGGGGCTAGCAGGAGGGGGGCTGCGGAGGAGGATAATTGGCAGGGATCCTCGGGGCGGGAGTACCTGTGCCTGAACGCCAGTGTGGCTTTGTGTCTGGGTACTGGTCAGCATTCTGTGGTGCCTGTTTGCTCAGCACACATTGGTGAAGAGCCTACTGAGTTCCGGATGCTGGAGATGTGCCCTGTGGAGTTCTGCACCTGTGTCTGTGAACACGTACATGCCGGAAGCCTTCCGCCTGGGGAAATTTTGTCCGAATAAGCCTCAGAGATTGGAAGAGGGGCACAGATTCTGAGGACCTGTTAGCACCAAGCTCTGTATTAGGTACTATTTGTGTCCCCATTCTACAGATGAGAAAACAGTGTCAGAGAGGGAAAATGATTTGGGAAGGCAGGGTAGGATGGTGGAAAGGGAGAACTTTGAAGGCGCCGATTTGGATTTCACCTGCTCCCTGCAGTTTATCAGCTGTGTGACTTTGGGCAAATTAATTCAGTTTCTGTAGCCTTGCTTTCCTGGTCTAAATAATGGGATAGCAGCATCCATTTCGTGGGTTTCTTGTGAGGAATAAGGACATCGTGCTTGGTAAAATAGAGGGTCAGTGAAGAAGAGGAAGACCCTCAAAGAGATAGATTAACACAGTGGCTCCAACCGTGGGCTCAAACATAGCAATGATTGTGAGGATGGTGCAGGACCGGGCAGTGTTTCGTTTTGTTGTACGTAGAGTCACTATGAGTTGAAAGTGACTTGATGGCACCTAAAAACAACAACATGTAAGGGTGCTCAGTACTGATCTTGCACGTATTCATTCACTCACTCATTCATTCAAGGAAGATTTCATGAGTACCTACTACATGCCAGTTGTTATACCAGGCATTGGGAGAGAGCAACACAGAGGCAATCTTTGCCTTGGAGAAACTTAGAGACTCCTGGGGGACACACACAGATGAGTACACCAGTGTTATAGATCAAAGCTGTGATGAATGGGGGGAACCAAGGGGCTGCTGTGGGAATGAATGATGGGGCAGCACCCATCCCAGAGTCAGTGTCTGGAGGGGGTGCTGTCTCAGGTGAGCCTTGAAGGATGAGTCAGCATTGGGGAGGGGAGGGATTCAGGCAAAGGGACCAGCACATTCAAAGGCCTGGAGGCAAAACAGCACATGGGTTCCAGAACCCAAAGCAGTAAAGTATGGCTGAAGCTTAGAGACTGAAGGATTAGTAATGGCAGGGAGGCAAATGGAACAGAAGGGCCACAGTGGGACAGGGAGACCAGTAAGCAGGTGAGTGCAGTGGCCAGGCCAGAGGTGCTGGTGGTAGCTGGAACCACAGGGTGGCAGGGAAAAGGGAGAGAGGGCAGTGGGGCTGGAGGGGGAAGGATGAGTTCACATATACTTTGAATGTGGAATCATTGGGACTTGTTTGTGGGTTGAACATGGTGATTGACGGAGAAGCAAGAGTCAAGTGATTCCCAGTTTCTGGCTTGGGCACCTGGGTAGACAGGACATTCCCTGAGATGGCAGGGAGAGGAGCCCTGGGGAAGGTGGCACTCAGCCTCCAAGAGACTAACCTTGAGTTACATCCTATGGGAACCACTTGGAATGTGGGGGTGTTGAGGAATACTGTGTATATACTGTGTGAATGGCATTTCCTGGTATTGGGCAACATGGTGGCCTGGAGATGTCCAACTGGTTAGTGGGTCAGAAGCCTAGGAAGGTGTCTGGGCTGGAGAGGGAGATCAGGGAATTAGGAGCACAGAAGTTTTCACAGAGATGTTGCGAGTGGCTTGGGACAGGTGTAGTGTGGGAAGAGAAGGGGCCCCGGGTTGGCTCTGATGAGCACCTTAGAAATCAGGAAGAGGAGCCTACTGTCTGAGAAGGAGCAGCTGGAGGAAGGGTAGGAGGAAAACCAGGACAGTGTGGGGTCCCTGGGTGGCACAAACAGTTTATGCTCATCTACTAACTTAAATATTGGAGGTTCGAACCCACCCAGTGGTACCATGGAAAAAAGCCTGGTGATCGGCTTCCATAATGATTACAGGCATGAAAACCCTGTGGAGCAGTTCTCTGTAACATGTGGGGTCACCATGAGTTGGAATTGGGTCAAGGGCAACCAGTTTTTTTGTTTAGTGGGGGTCCTCGGTTTGTGAACAGAGCATGGTCCTAGAAAGGAATAGCCAAGGTTTTCCAATTCCCATTGGGGATTTTACTTCCTGGAGCCTTACTTTCTTGGTCTGAAAAATAGGGCAGTCCACCTATCTCAGATTTGTTTTGAGGAGTAAATAAGATTGGAATTATTCTCTGAGGTCACACTCCTAGCAAGGGGCAGAACCAGGGTTCCTGCCCCCAGCTGTCTGCCAGTGCCCAGGCTCTCCCACAGCCCCACTGCCTCTGAGGGGATGGCTGTGAGTTGAGAGGCACCAAAGATCTGAGGCAGCAGGACTTGCATAGGTTCTGGGCTCAGAGCTGGGAGGCTGGGGCCTCACTGGTAGAGTGTGTTGGGGTGTCCCTGCTGGGAGGGGCGCACATAGAAGCTGATGGTCCCTCCTCTGGGACAGATGCCCTGGCCCCTTCCCACAACCAGACCGCAGGACAGCCCACATGGGCTGCAAAGCTGCCCCACCCTAGGCTGATAGAGGGTGGGCTGCTGGTGTGTGTGTGCAGGTCTCTGTGTGTCCATGCAGCCCCATAAGCATCTGTGTGGGCCCGTGTGTGTGTGCTCGTGTTGGTGAATGTGCTGGGGTGGGGGGCACCTGGGTGTCTGTTGGGATCTCCCTGTCCAAGTGTGTACGTGTGTGTGGGGTAGGAATGACAGTATCTCCATCTCCAACTGTGTTCAAATGTGCATCTTGGGCTGTAGAGTCCATGCCTATGTGTGCTGCTCTCCCAGGCTCCACATGTGTACTGCACGCCCACAGTCCTCTCTGGGTGTGGCTGCCTGGCTTGGCACATACCTTCCCCTCCCCTCCCCACACCCCCGAGCTGGTGTTCCCCTGCCAGGAGCAGCTTCTGGGCTGCTCTCCTGTCAGAGGGGAGAGGAGCAGAGTGGAGAGACACTCGCGGCCCTGGGAGCTGGCCCAGCTCATGAGTGGAGAGTGGTAAGACCACCTCAGAGTAATGACTGAGCTCTGCCCAGCTCAGGCCAGGTAATTCCAGAGCCAGCTTCCATCCTGCTGGGCCCAACTGGGCGGGAAGGGGTCAGCCCCACTGCATCTGGCGGTCTGCAACTTGCCCTTCCCCACCAGCCCTAGAGCCCAGCAGACGCTCCTCCCTCCATGCCCACTCCCTGGGAGGCGTCTGACACATGATTTATTCATAAAAAGCCATTATTTGTGCCAAAGAAGAACTGAGCTGCTCGTTTTTTAAGTGCTGATAATGCTCTCAGCCTCCTCGCCTTCTCCTCCTCTCCCCTCCCTTCCCATCTTCACTCTTATCTCCTCTCTCACCTCCTTCAGACTTCCCATCCTCTCTCCTCCCCTTTCGTCCCCCCTTCCTCTCTATTCCTTTATTGTTCTCCTTGAACCTCTTCTCCCCCTACTTCTTCCCTCCCCCCACCCCACTTACCTCCTCCCCACTTCTTCTCTAGAGCCTACAATTAGAGGAGTGAAGCAGGTTCAGTGGAGGCTCAGAACCAGTTGTCCCAGATTGGGGAAAGCCCACACCAGGCCTGGAGCCCCGGGGACCCCACTCCTACCCTCAGCCCTCACCTGCTCAGGACCAAGGGAAGGTTGGGAGCAGGCGGAGCAGGCTGAGAAAGGTGGGTGAGGGTCTTTGGAGGCTGTCCCAACCGGTTCCCTTATGCTAAGGAGGACTTTAGCACTCCATTATTAGATCCCAAATAAATATTCAGTGTAAGTAAAAACTGGACTTGCTATGCAAATGCAGGTTCAAGGCAAGCCTTTTCTCCCCAGATGTGTCCCCAGCAGCCCATATAGAAATTCAGGAGCCACCATTATTCCAGAGATGCTGACATCAAGGGAGGTGCTTGGGGCCCCATCACAGAGCACCCTTTCTTTCCAGACAGGAGGTCCCGCAATGAGTAGGCTCTCAAAGGCAAGCATGGACATGTCAGACATCACGGGTCTTGTGTACACACACAG